ATATAAGACTGTATATAAGGTGGTTGTGCTTGTGAATACTTCATCATGGCAAATGGAAGGTAGGAATGGGAGGATGAAGTTTCCGGGATGGTTCACCTCCCAAATTCAATGATTCCATAACTCCATTAAATGTTTCACAGCTTAAATGGCTTACGGAAAAATGTCCTCTCACTCTTAAAAAAGATTGTTCTTCAAGGGTTTGCATGCTTAAACGGTTCGTTGCATGGTGAAATAGTTCTTCAGATTGATGGAGAACATGTTGTATGCAGGAACTTGAAAGAGAGCAATTTTCAAATGGCAAGAGCTGCTATTTTTTATCATAGTCTTTTAGTCTGTTATCAACAGCGATGATATGTTGCAAGTTTTAAGTAGGGAAATTTAACCTAATAACATGGAGCTTGTGAACGGCTTTTGGATGAATTTGACTAATCCGAAGCAGCCAAACATTCATATGCTGTTCATTCATTGCACACTGTGTTAAGCATTCAAGCCCCAAGCCAAAAAATGCATAGGCTGGTCTTCTTAGGTAAAAAAAAATGCGCATACCTCAATTTATAGAATCGTAATTAAAACTGTGATAATATTGGTCAGAAATATTGGTCAGAAAAAAAAAACAATTAGATATTTTGCCAACATTTTTCAGCCCTATTTCCAACAAAAAATTCTTGTGACTACAAATTTCACATGGACCTCACTCATTTCATGGGTCCTTTACTTTTAAGTAGCATTTTGATTCACTCAGCAAGGCTAACAATGGTTTACTTTCACATTCTCACACTGGGTTTACCTTAAACATGCACATTTGAAGCTTGTAATGTCAAAACAATATAATCTTTACCTTGTGTGTTGCAGCTTTCCAGTTTTACAGACCAGCTGGCACATTAAGTATGTATGCAGCAGCCATTAGCTGTAGTCTTTATGGTGTTTGAGTGCAGATTTCCACAGGATTGTCACAGATTCATCATTGAGCCATGAGGCCCACTCACACTTGGACCAATTGACCAATAGTGCTTCTACTTTGACTCTGGCAACCTCTGAAGGGCCGGGGCCTTCATTTAGCAGCACTGAACCTCCAAAATGGAGGAAACGCCAATTTTAGCAGTATTAAGCATGAACCTTTCACCATCTGACCCACTGACCTTAAATAAACACATGAAAGAGACACTGCATGATATGCAATCAGTCATGAGACTGTATTATTAACTATCTTTACTTTTGCGATTTTACTGTTTGTTTTAGATGAGTTAGCCAGCATGCTAAATGCAATGTTAGCCCCTTGGCTAACTGCAACTGCAACAAGTAACCCCACTGCCGCCAACCACTCCAGCTATCTATACTTTTTTTGCTAAAAATCAGTTTGTAACACTGTACTGTGGCAGTTTTATAATAATCTCACATAATTATGTTCACTTTTGTTTTCAATGTTTATGGAAGGTGAGTTAGCAGGCTTGCTAATGACTATGTTAGCTCCTTGGCTAACTGCAGCCTAGATAGCAAGAGGATAGCAGGCCACTGTTGGCAAAGCTGATGGCCCACTGGCTTTTTGCTCATCATCTTAACTGGTGGTTAAACAGAACATTACACAAAATGTGTATTTTCATCTCACAGTCCAATTAACTCATTTTTCTTTCTTTCATCATTCTTTGTAAATTAGTTTAGTAAATAATTTTAATTTAGTGTCAGCAACAACAAAACATGGGCTGAGTCTTTTTATTTAATTTTTGCGGTAATTGTCTTAGTTTATTTTCCGAAATAAAAGTCTAACTTAAACTCTGTTTGAGGATATTAAAAACTAGGACAAGACAATAGAAACAAGACAATAATGTGGGTGGTGTGAGGGTGGACCAGCAGTGGCAAATAGTCAGCAGGCTGCCGACCTTACCAAGCGAGCAGGCCGATCTATGCTTGCTAGCTGGGAGCTGCAAGTCACCCCACAGCTGCTACCAACCGCAGTTATCTACACTTTTTGGCCACACATCAGTGTGCAGCATTATACCCTCATGAGTAATATATATTTTTCCAATTTAATATGCTTACTTTTGTGTTATTAATATTTATGGTTGGCACGTTAGCTAGCATGGAGGATTGTTTTGTCACCAATCTTCCAAGCCAAGCTTGGTCACACCTTTTTCGCAAGACGATGCAAATTAAAAATGTCAAATGTGACTTTAGCCACAAGCTAAGTTGCGGCTAGTTGGATTGGTTTGTCTGGGCCCTAAAGCATGTTTGGCCAAGACATAGTGCAAAGAAGCATTTTTGAACCCTTTCCCAGAATTCTCAGTAACCTTTTTAGAGTAGCCTACTGTGTAATTTTTGTATGACCACAATTCCTCCGTTGTTCCTCCAAACACAAAGCCAAGCGTTGGATGGAGTGGAGTAAAGCGCCACCACTGGACCCTGGAGCAGTGGAAACGTATTCTGTGGAGTGTTGAATCACACTTCTCTATCTGGCAGTCTGATGGACAAGTCTGGGTTTGCACAGGAGAACATTACCTACCTGACTGCACTGTGCCAGCTGTAAAGTTCGGTGGAGGAGGGATGATGCTTTGGGGTTGTTTTCAGAGGTTGGCCTATAACCCTTAGTTCCAGTGAAGGGAAATCTTAATGCTTCAGCAGACCAGGACATTTTGGACAACTGTATTCTTCCAACTTTGTGGGAACAGTTTGGGGAAGAACCTTTTCTGTTCCAGCATGACTGAGCACCAGTGTACAAAACAGCTCCATATAGGCCTGACTGGGTGAGTTTGGTGTGGAAGAACTTGACTGGCCCTCACAGAGCCCTGACCTCAACCCCATCAAACACCTTTGGGATGAACTAGAACGGAGATTGTGAGTCAGGCCCTCTCATCCAACATCAGTGTCTGACCTCAGAAATGCTATTCTGGATGAATGAGCAGAAATTCCCACAGACACTCCAAAGTCTTGTAGAAGCTTCCCAGAAGAGTGGAAGCTGTTGTATCTGCAAAGGGGCACCAACTCCATATTAATGCCTATGGATTTCGAATGGGATGTTATAAAAGCTCCTGCAGGTGTGATGTGTAGGTGTTCTAATACGTTTGTCCGTACAGTGTATGTTTACGAGTTCCTTTATTCAGTGCTTCCTTCAGATCTCAGCATGTCTGGCTGCTGTTATAGCTTCTTATGTTTCTGTAGACTGGACTAGTAAAAGTATGATGAAATTATGATGACATGATGAAATTCTGAGGAAATATGTCAGTGATGTAGAAATCAGTATTTGCTGTTACCTGTTTGATGTTGAAAGAGTTCAGGTGGAGCCACTGTTTCGAGTTAATTACAAAACATTTCCTGCAGAGGTACTTAATCCACAGAGATGTAGGCGAGGGTACAGTCACAGAACACTGTGCCCAGAAATAATGTGTTACCGTTCAAAGGTTTGAAATCAATTATCATATTCATATTTTATACACAATTTATACAAATTATACAAAGTAGGTTTAAATACCAGAGTGTGCTTTAATTTATTTTGCTTAAATTAAATTTTAGATAAAATTTTGTTATCAAATTACAGTATTTTTGTGGTTTTCTTTCTTTCTTTCTTTCTTTCTTTCTTTCTTTCTTTCTTTCTTTCTTTCTTTCTCTAATGATCTGAATCAACATTCTAGCATATCACAACCATTGTAAGCATCTCTCTGCAATGAAACAGTTTTTGGAACACACATAGTAAACAAAACTTCAGTGTCCTTGCCAGTTTACTTATGCACTCACTGAGCACTTCATTACACTCATGTACCCCTCAAGGGTACATCTGAGTACCCTTAGTCATGGAACATAACTGTACCATAATCCATTGAAATGATATTATATTATATTATATTATATTATATTATATTATATTATATAAGTTGTATTGACTCCACATATCTGTCTCGTCTCCAGGCTTTTTATTTTATTGTTCTGGTTTAAAACATTAGTTTATGAAAAGGTCCAAATTTGTCCTTTTCACCTGGAAACATTTATTTAAGGTTCACAACTGGACCCCAAAGAGTAACTACACCCCACTGTTTTCAGCGAACTCCACCCCTGGGGCACTGCAGTGATGTACGGGTTTGGAGGTGCGGCTGAGAGGGAAACCGGGTGGGCTTGGCTGCTGTGTTTTTAGAGCTCTCTGACATTAGCTACCAGAAAATATGGAGAGCGACAGAATCAAACGGCACCTTTGCAACTTTGAGGTCTTACGAGGTTGACGATTTTTCTTCACTACCATCCCCATCTTCACCGAGGGAAGGTGTTTCTGATCAGGCAGTGTGTTGAGCCTTAACAGTATGAGCCACTGACTCAAGCTGTCGAAGAGTTAATTCCCAAAAACCATGACAGCCAGCTTCTAATTATCTGTTCAGCAGGTCCACATTTGACATAACCCGAGTCCTGATTTCATAGATGAACTGAATTCCGAATAGATGGATTTCTTTGAACACTAAGTTTCGTTCAGTTTGACATCAAGCTATGAAAATATACTTCTATTAGGCCATTAGGGAACCATTTCCTTCTATACAGGTGGTCTTGTGCACACAGTACAAATCTTTTACTTGTTGAGAATGTTTAGAGGCTGGAGTATATTATTATTATTATTATTATTATTATTATTATTATTGAACATGCATTTTAGCTATTAATGAAACAGAAAGGTCTTAGGGTGTAGTTGCTCTTTAACACCACTGTTGTACCTGTGAGGGAACATTTACATTGTTTGTACCACGATGAAATGAAAACTGTACCTGCACAGAACCTTTATTTCTAACAGTGTAATTACACCTCCTTGTATCTACACTCATTGGAAATGTTGTCAGCTCCACTCATCATACAGAAACACTTCATTTTTCTACAATTACAGACTGTAGTCCATCTGTTTCTCTGCATACTTTGTTAGCCCCCTTTTACCCTGTTCTTCAGTGGTCAGGAACCCAATGGACCCTCACAGAGCAGGTACTATTTGGGTGGTGGATCATCCTCAGCACTGCAGTGACGCTGACGTGGTCTGTGTTGCGCTGGTCTGAGTGGATCAGACACAGCAGTGCTGCTGGAGTTTTTAAACACTGTGTCCACTCACTGTGCACTCTATTAGACACTTCCATCTTGTTGTTCTACCTTGGAGATGTAAAGTCAGAGACGATAACTCATCTGTTACCACACTGTGTCAGTCATCCTCTAGTCCTTCATCAGTGGTCACAGGACGCTGCCCACAGGCTGCTGTTGGCTGGATATTTTTGGTTCTTAGTCCAGCAGCGACACTGAGGTGTTTAAAAAATTCAGCAGCACTGCTGTGTCTGATAGCAACGACTTACTGGGTTGTTTTTAATGCCATTTGACTCTATGTGGGGAGGTTTAGCGTCTTTCAGAGATGTCCTTATGTGACCTTTGTCCGAGGTTTCCCCCTACACTCCTTCAGCAGTGGCCTGTTAAAGGCTTATTCAACAGACAAGTGGTGAGATCATCCTCTAGCCGCCCAGGTTACTTGCTGTCGAGAGGAAATTCTGGATTTGCTGGTTGGTAAGGTGATAGAATCGTCTGCAGCAGTTTTTTGTTCCGTAGATTTATGAGCAGGAACATCATGCAGCTAGCAAACAGCAGGAAACACAGCACCGAGAGCACAATTACTGGAATGCTTGTTCCACATCTGGCACCGATTTCATCTAAAAGAGAAAAAAATAAGGTAAAGTTATTTAGGCACCACACATGCCTGTAAACAGAGTTTTCCTTGTCGAAATGATTAGACCCCCCTCCACCAAATTACCTTAAATGTGGCTAAACCAAGGCATGTTTGGTGTCTTTAGTTTTGCATTGGAGCTGCAAGGCTAATGTCTCAAATAATGAAAACTTAGGCACACCCATGCTTTTCTCCAGCTACACAACATATTTTTGTCTGGTTTTACAGGTAACGGTTACACAGTGTCAGAAATCACAGAAGCAAGTCTATTAGAGATTACTTACCACTCCACATGATTTGAGGGAAGCATGAGATGATTTAAATCTAGCAGGATATTAGCTCACATTGCTTGTTAGTCCAGACAAGTCAAAGTTTATTTATGTAGCGCTTTTTACAGCAGGTGTTGTCACAAAGCAGCTTTACAGAAAAATCCAGGTCCGAGCCCCCATGAGCGTCACCAACGGCGACAGTGGCAAGAAAAAAAAACCCTAGGGAGCAAGAGGAAGAAACCTTGAGAGGATAACAAACAGCATTAATATAAAATATTAAAATACAGAAATGGAGGAAAAACAGATGAAGCGATGGTTAGAATTAAATAGTTTGAGTCTGTGGAGCAGCAGCAGCAGCAGCATCAGAAGGGTCAGTTCATGAAGGTGAGGTTTGCACAGCATTGTACAGCGTGCAGAAGGCGGGCGAGCAGCGGGCACCCGATCAAGGAAGAAGAAGCAACAGCATCAGACACCACAGGATGGGCAGCTCAGCAAAGACAAAGAAAACACACAAAGAGTTAGTTCTGTAAAGAGTGACTGATTACAGTTTACACGGTTAACAGAGTGCAGCTACATTCGCCTCGTAGCTCCAGCGCAAAACTAAAGAAGCAAACTTCAGACTAGGCCTGAACGATTTGGGGAAAGCATCTAAATGGGAATTCTCTGACTAATACTGCAACTGCTATTTAAACTGTGATTATTTTCTATAAATTAAAGTTCAGGACTTTTTTTTTGCCAAAAAGACCAGAATATACACTTTTTTCTGGCTTGAGGCCTGACCCATGAATTGTGGATGTGTCACAACAATGGAGGTTTGGTTGCCTCAGTTTGATCTAAGTTATCTACAGGCAGTTTACAACAAGCTCTGTGTTATTATAAGTTAAATTTCCTAAGTTAAAACTAGATAGCATTTGTGATTATGTAGACTATAATTTTTTAAAAATTATAACTATTATGCAGTTTGAAAACTGTACGCTCTTATATAAAAACGATTAATCTTTCAGCCCTACTTCAGACACTGAAAGGGGACCAATCATGCGTTTTCCGGTTAGTGTGTTATGTACTTTTTATGCATGTAAACAGTCTGCAAAATCAGAAAGCCCAAAGTTTACACCAGAGGGAGAAACTCTATCCCATAGAAACCAATTTTCTCAGCTGCCTGAAACTTGGAATTCCAGCCTTTTCCCTTTGTTACAAGATGATGTAATCTCGTAACACAAACCTTACTGCCCACCTACCAACAAACTTGGCACGCTGGCTCTACCAGCTTGTTGTACTTCTTTCGACTTTCAGGATGGGATACAGCAGAACTGACTTCACTGTAAGAAATGCCACAACAGTGTAAGGGAGGAACTTGTAGCAGGATGCCACTCTGCGGTTGACCAGTCAGAACAGAGTGGGCAAGCTGAGCAATCAGAGCACAGTGGGCTCACTGGGAGGCGGGGCTTAAAGACACAGGAGCTCTAACAAAGCTTTGCATAGGGTGTATAGAGATGTACAGTATATGGAAAATGTGTTTTTTGGAACACTGAAGCTGTAAATCTATTTCAGTAGACCCAAAAAATAAAATTATGAACACTGAAAAAGAGCATAATCAGTCCTCTAATATATGTCCTATAATATGAACATACGTTTGAGCAAGAATGCATGAGACTGCAGTTAAAAATTGTGGTTCGGTTTGGATCATCTGTGATGTTAATGTTTGTGTGGTCATGGTGCCACCAGCTTAGAAACACAAATATTTTTGTGCAGTAATGCTTGGTAAATGTGGTTGCACAAAAATGATATTCAAGTAATTCTTTTATTTATTTATGCATGTCTTATGAACCCAGACAAGCTATGCTGCAAATCATTTCCTTCCATAGAGGATTTAGAAAAGATTAAATTGGAAAAGGTAAATTGCAAAAGTTTTGAGTTTCTCAACAAGCAACACTTGCATGCCAGCAGTTTTTTGAGAAGAAACAGTTGAAAGAAAAAAGTGCTCACACCCAAAAAGTCAGTTTCCATCTCTCCTCTTTCCAGTTTATGCAGTCTGGCAGTGTTGTATGCACACAATGGATAATTAAAACAGTCACAACACTGCACAGACCTACCAGACCAGTGTTCCTGCTTTACGGATTCTAGAAGCCTCCTATATGCTATTGCTGCCAGTGACCCGGACATATGATGGGAGTTCACTCATCTAGCTTGGAGTGGTTTTACTGCCAAGAAGGTCTGCAGAGTGGCGACGGTTCGTTCTGTTGAGGTGTCTTTAGCCTGTATTGTATTCATATTCCAAACCAACCACACTAGGATTCATTTGGAAGTGAATTAAGAGGTGAACCCTTGGCAAGTTCGCTTAAAATGAACCCTTGTGTGGTTGTGTGTTAGGCTGTTTCACACATACAGGCGTTTCACATACAGTTCTATTCAAATCAGTTCTGTTAAAGTAAACCTGAATGGGAACCAGCTGAAAACAAACCCAGTGCTTTTTGTATCCACAATGTAAACAAACTTTAAAGGGGACACCATTTTCCTTCTGGTCTTCTTTAACATTGACAAGATCTCCACTTCCTGTTCACCCCACAACTCACCCCTGGGTGACACCAAATTATGGGTAACGTTGTTCAAGTTTATCATATAATGGATGGGAGTGGCTGGCGAAGTGGGTAGCGCTGTCACCTCACAGCAAGAAGGGCCTGGGTTCAATTCCCGGCCAGGTAACCAGGGTCCTTTCTGTGTGGAGTTTGCCTGTTCTCCCCGTGTCTGTGTGGGTTTCCTCTCACAGTCCGAAAACATGCAGCCAATTGGACGTGCTAAACTGCCCCTAGGTATATATGTGTGTGTGTGAATGTGTATATCTGTCTGTCTGCCCTGTGATGGACTGGCAACCTGTCCAGGGTGTATCCTGCCTTCCGCCCAATGACAGCTGGGATAGGCTCCAGTGACCCAGAAGGATAGGTGGTTTAGATGAAGGATGGATGGGAGTGGCTGAGCCATAATTCTTCAATAACCCAAAGCTAATAAAAACCATTACAAAGTCACCATTGTTCCTGTAGTCAAATCCACAGACCACCTGACTAGTTTGTTTTTCCCACTAAGTGCTGAAAGACTGTAGCTGTCTATGCACGGAAAGCCCCGAGGTTCTTTAAGGCTAACTGTAAATACTTCTTTTCAATACTTTTGTTTTTTTATAATGCACAAATCAGTTGGGACACAAAAGGAACCTCAAATGAATGTGAAGGACAGTCTGAGTTTGGATCACTTTAAGGTCTGTCTGAACTCTGTTCACAATAAACAATGACTCTGTGGTCTAGGAATGGTCCAGGGAATCATTCATCTGCCAAAGTTCACACAATAGTTTGGGTTTTTGAAGCTCATGCTAGATGAATCTGGATGAGTGTTTGTAAAGGGTCAGTTGTTAAAGCAGGCATATTATGCAGACACTACAGTGATGACATGCACTTAGAATAACATGCTCTGATGTTGAATTCCCTTGTTTGGTGCGGTCCAGAAATGCATTCCCACTCATGGTGGAGGGGTACAATTGAGTGTAGAAAGACAAAATAGTCCACAAAGAAAACATATTATTTTCAGATTTATCACTACTGTACCATCATCAACATCCTACATAAAACTCAGAAGACTCGTGTAGGTTCACTAGTGGTTTTGGATAGTAAATAAAATTAATATTACAATTAATATTTGTGTTGTAGTCATGGCGACCCCTGGTTCCTATCACCTTTGCATTTCAACCATTGAATTATGCAGAAACTTAAGAAAAATTATTGGAATTCTACTTTAAGTATAGAGTGGCTGTGGGACTTCTGTTAGTTAGCTGGTACTTTTGGTGGGTGGTGGGTGTAAAATTAGTGTTCTGGCCCATTATTAGCCAAATGAAAACCAGTGTTAGAGTTAAACTAATGCATTCTAGGTTGAATATAAATACAACTGCAGAAGTAATATTTCTAAATTCACAGCAAAAATGGCTTACATAGATGTGCATATGTTGTAATGTAGTTCTGTGTTCAACCCTGAGAAAACTGATAAAGCTTTCATTGTATAAATCTGACACTAACTTTAGCAGCATCACTTTAAAATTCTGTTTGGCCACTTTCATGCTTTTATATTAAAGTTCTGTATATCGGATTTTTTTTTAATAAAGCACAAAAAGGACATACATTTCCTGAAACACACTCAAGCTTTCAAGAACAACGGTAGCTTTATTAGTTTTTAATAGCTTGATGCTATCAGAGTGTTCCAAATCATGAATGTCCTTTTTGTGCTTTATTTCAAAATTCCAATATACAGAAACTGAAGCAGTATTCATACTAGTGACCGAACCTCCTGCGGCTTGAAGTGATGCTGGAGTACGCCTTGAAAAAGCGTGATGAAATTCTGAGGTAAACACATTCCGTTCACCCAAATCATCCACCCTGGAAAGATGGCAGTGGTGCAGAAATCGGTATTTGCTGCTACCTGTCTGGTGATGAAACAGTGCAGGTAAAGCCACAGGCTGCGGTTTTGTTTTATCAAATCTATCAAATTGCAAGAGAGCAACAAGAAGTTATTAAACAAAATTACAAATAATCTAGTTATAATCATTTTGGTCTCGATACCACCCCGACATTTTCACATATGAGGCATTCAGGATATTCATTGTGTTGTGTTTCTTTTCTTTTGTTTACTACTGTGAGTTTATTGGCTGGTTGCAAAGCAGAAATATGATTACTGCCTGACTCATGGAGACCTGGAGTTCCCCCATTATGTGATTCCTCAAATGCATGTAAACGCGTTGATCAGATTACTGACAAAATCTGATTTTCTGCAGTTATCAGATTATTAAGTGCACATAAACGCACTCATTGACTCTAGACTTGGACACAAAGCGTGTCTCTGACGAAAAAGAGATTTGTGAATGTGAAGCAGTCTACAAGAACTTTCACATATACCCATATAGATTCTATACTAAGGGCTCTTCCTTAAAAATGTACATTAAGTGAAGTTTAAAAAGGTTTTTAACACTAAGTTTAATATAATATTGATGTATAGATCCCACTTTGGGTAGATGAGCCAGCAGAATGAACTGTGTTTACTGATTAGGGTTTTAGTATTCCTGAGCCCATGTGGTTATTTTTATTAAAGAAGCACGTTGGGTTTTAATGCAAGACCATCTGAGGGATCGAAGACCTCGAGCATTCAGTATTGGTTTTTGCCCCTGAGCGTTTACGCACAGAAATGTCTAAACACTTCAAACACAAAAACTGCCCATCCTTTGATGTCTGATGCTGTTGCTTCTTCAGCCTTAAGTGAGTGCCCACTGCTCGGCAGCCTTCTGGACCAGTTTGACCACCATGGAGTTTCCTGCTGTACAACGCTGTGCAGACCTCTCCTGGGAAGGACAACTGCCAACAGAGTCTGCCTGGGGCAGCGGAGAACCACGAATACCCATTCAGGGCTGGGATTTGAACCCACAACCTTCCATTTGGTGGTTCACCTCTCTGACCAGCAGGCTAACATTTACTTTGCACCTCAAAATTTTAGTACATCATTTTTAAAAAGCTAGGAAATTTAGTACCTTGATATGAAGAAAAAAGCATTCTCTACTAAGTATATACGACTACATACACTGTTTAATCTAAAAGCTCACCTTGGGAAGATGATTCCAGGGGTTTGGTGTTGTCTTATTTACATAATTGCCTTATTTGCATAATTTTAACATGTAGGTCATTCACTGAAGTTTAAATATGCTTTAAAAAACCTTACTTAACTCCCAGCTCAGCTGACTCGATGCTGAAGTTCTCATATGGAATAGACTGGAATGGAATGCTGTTATTGCTTTTCTTCAAGTACAACAAAATGTTGTTTTGTGACTTTCTGAATATTAGGCTTGGGCAGTTTTCCCTTTTTTTCACCATGACTGGGTGCCAAGTGGTGTAAAAGGGTCTTAAGTGATGGAAAAACTTGCTTCTGTGCTGCCTCATCCTGCATAACTTTGTAATTGCAAATAAACAAAAAGTTTATTTCGCTTACAGTCACCAAATAAGTTAACGCAATGCATGATTTTCAAATGTCAAACTATCTATCTAACAAGTGCTAAATGATAAACAGTGCTACCAACTAGGAGAGAGGAGCTGATTAGCATTAGCATAGCTACCATGATAACAGTTCCCCAAAGAACAAGTTGGATTTTGGCTAACTGAAGCACCAACACATGTTTAGAATGATAATGATTCAAATCTGAGGGACTGAAGGCGAGCAGCTGGCGCTGAAGGGACAGTGTAGTCTGATCAGTTCACTTAACTGTAGCTTAGCAGCTACCCAAACAGTGCCACACTCCACAGTACAGATTTAATTCTGACTAACTGCTGCTCTGCTCAAATGAGTGTGGACGAGAAAAACTAATGTTTAAGAGAGTAAAAGTTGAGTGACTGGTGTTGGAGTGGCTGCAGTCGTGGGCTGGAGGTTAGGGAACCAGCCCTGTGACCGGAAGGTTGCTGGTTTGATCCCCTCAGCTGACAGTACATGACTGAAGTACCCTTGAGCAAGGCACCTGACCACCAATTGCTCCCCGGGCGCCGTGGATAAGGCTGTGCTCACTGCCCCCTAGTGTGTGTGTTCACTAGTGTGCATGTATGTGGGTGTTTCACTGCATGGATGGGTTAAATGCAGCAGTCTAATTCCACAGTGTGCAAACACAGTTAGCTGATGGTTCTGAATTCAACGTAGCGTTTTGGCTAAGCTAATGAGGCACAGCACAGGCCCGGTTCTGGCTAATTGATACTGGGATTAGAGGACTGGTTTTAGAGTAAAAGCTAAAGTCGAATGTGTTCTGTGGTCAGTGCAGCTCTGAGTGGTGGCTGAGCAACTATTATGCGTAGCTTTTCCAAAGTGCATAAAGGAAAGTCAGTCCACTCGACAGCCAACTTAGTGGCCAATTATTTTCACGATATTTCAGATGCTAGTTTAGCATTACAAGCTGTCCCATTAATGTTCCAAACAATTTCCACAACAAAGTGTTCTCCTTTATAATGTTTCTAATGTTATAGTATCTGGTTTTGAAAGTTTTCCTGGCTATGTTTTTGTAGTGATGCATGACCCTGGGTTTTCGACACCCTGACTCCACTTAATTTTAACCAGAACTGCACCAGAGCCAGTGATAAAGGTATACAGCTGATATTAAACCATCCTAAATGTACTTTATTAGATTATTGTTTTGAGCAGCTACAATTACAGTGATATGATGAAAATTCATAGTCATACATAGACATCGGCCTATTTCACACTATGTTGCTGCTGAAGGGAGCTTGAGGCTACGGGACGAGGGAAACTCAGAGTGATGTACTGGATAAAATTATTTCCCAAGTAATAATTCTTCAAAAATGAACCACTACTAACCAGTGAACCAGATTTAAAGTGATGTTTTCATTCTGAAGCAGTTCCGTTTTTCTTTTCACGAGGCTAAAGTTGGCTTCTTATCCAAGTTTTCTGTTCCACCTTAAATGACGCAGCAGTTGTGCAGGCACCAAAACTTTTATGATGACAGTTGAAGAGTTGAAGAGTCGATCCAAGCATTTCGATTCTAAAAGTCTTTGGCGAAGATGTGGAGTTGAAGAATTGACTCTTTTGAATTCAACTCCCCATCACTAGACTTTGCCCTCATTCACTCGGGGCCACCTACAGGTAAGCACCCACAACACCAATAAGTGACCCCTCTAACACATAAATGGGTGGAATGTGTTTGACCATTCAGATGTTTAATACATCATAATTTTAAAGTGCCATCATCATTTTTAAAAGCTTCAATAGACCTTATGACCGGCCTACTGAATACTGAAGTTTTGTGTCAGGCAGCCAAATGGAGCGTAACGTTAGCTAAGCTTACAAACTTCCTGAATTCTAATAACCTTGTAAAGGATTGTGCAAAAGGGCTGACAGTGAAGGAATAACTTAAAAATAATGCTATTATCATATCCATTAGGCCAAAAGGCAGACAGCTTAAATTCTATAGTAATTCTGATATTGTAAAGTCACTAGTGCATATTTGAGTGTAGTTCCATTTTTAGTGGAATACATGGGAATGGTGTATATTTACACTAGTATATCGCTGCTGTCAGAAGAAAACCTTGTATCTCCTTGAATGGACCAAAAGAAACGGCCCAAAATCACTTAGAAAAAAGTCTGGTTCCATTGACTTACATTAAAAGTAAAATATGTTTTTCCTTCTCCTGTAAAGTTACCATTTTGGAGATACAAGGTTTTCTTCTGACAACAGCAATATGGTTTGATGAGTGCGTGAAAAATGGGCCTGGCACATTTTAATCAGCTGTCAAATAAGTACTCTTACTATTTCATTTGGTTCCTTTGAAGTTGTTTGTGAAGCAGAGATGATCCACTCCTTGATGTAATGTTGAACAAACAAACTCAAACAATAGCGCATTATACTTCACCACCAACGGCTTCTTTGTGTGAGCTTTCCCATAAGCTTAATACAGATTCACAAAGCTGAATGAATGAGGAAGGCAACGTGATGAATGTCATGTGCAAGGAACAGATTTAAATGTGCATGCGCAGATTTGTATCTGAAACAAGTGCTCCATTGTGACTCACTAACACTTGCATGTTCACACTTAACACGTTTTTCAGTTTTAGCACAAATGGAAGTTGAGCTTTACCGTATGTGAGGCTCATGGGTCTCTGCAGGTGCTGATTGAGACGCTGGTTCATTAATGTGAAAGTCACATTGAGTGCTGGACTCTGCGTCACGTAACTGCTCTTTAGACGATAAAGTCCAGCTGCTCCATCCGGACTCTCTGTGATTTCTGTCTGGTGGGTCAGGTTCTGGCCCTGGTCACCTAACCACCTGACATCTGGCTTAGGAAAACCCTCAGCCTCGATCCACACCGTCATGTTGGAGCAGCTGAAACTGATGCTCAGTCTGGGCTCTGTGTAGAAGGCTGAGAAGTAAACAGACACACAAACACGCTGGTTTTTATGCAGGGTCTTGGATACAGTGCTGTGAAATATCTTGGACAGCCATGGAAATAGTTTAGAGATATTTATCTAAGCAGTAAATGTATTTTGGTGAGGAGCCAGTTTTCCCCACAGCCTAATCATAGACTAAAAAGGATTCCCTAATGGTGACTGGCCATTAGCCCTGCAATTTAATTTAATGCTAAATCTAGTGTTTGCATAACAACATTGCAAGCGGTAATCATCGGGGTCCAAACACCATTCAGCACAACAAGTCCAACGAGGAATTTGCTGCCAGTAAGGCGTCGTTCTGAAAGTAGAAGGATACATTGTGTGCAGTTCTGAAAAAGGCCTCCATGTCTCATGATTGTTGAGGGGTCTCCAAGGGTCTATGTTAAAGTGTATACACATCAACCTTTTGCACAAATGCCCTACCTTTGGAAAAAAAAACAAAAAACATGGACCTGAGTTTCAAACCTAGGATCTCCTGAAATGAAAGCTTTGCCAGTTAGCACAACAGGGCTAATACCAGTGCAATGACTTATGAGATAATTTTTCGTTGGTAATATTAGGGGGCCAAGCACAAATTTGACAATTTGCTGGTGTAGCCCTCCCTAGAGATATAACAGATATAATATTACCATCTATACTATTTCAGCAAATTCATGCATAGAATTGTATAGATGTTGTTGCTGTCATAGCAAAACTTTCTCCAGAATGGTAACCTTATATGGGAAGAATTGTGGTTTTTATGCTAAATTGTGTCATGGTGCTCATTTCTATGTGAATATATGGCAGGTATGGTTAGCACTTCTAAAACATGGAACAACTGCATGTATCATAAAAATCACAGGTTTAGACTAATTACAGAAAGCCTGTAAACAACAACCAGTGTATAGTAACTGTATAGTTTCAAGTAGCTCATTAGAATATCCCATTATTTTATTATTATAAGCCCTACACATTGTACATGTTAACTATACAACCTATATCTGGCCAAAAGATGAAAATTTAATGCAATTCCTCCAACAATGTGTTTATAAGTGAAGTGTTATTTTCAGAAAATGACAGCCTACAAACAGTCTTGTCCATACCTCCATATTCCAGCTTCACCAGTGCTTTATCTGTTCCTCTGGTGTTGCTCACCATACACAGATATTGGCCCTCGTCCTTTGGTGTCACCGCCTCTATCCTGAGTGAAGCATTTCCTTTCAGCAGCTCCGTCACGAACAGTGACGTGCGGTTCTGGTAATCTGTGCTCTGCCGAGCCAGCTGGTCCTGTTCATAATAGAAACTGTGGACAACCCGGTTATCCTCCTTCCGCTGCCATGTGACCACCAGGTTGGACATGTCAAGATAAGAGTCAGGGATGAACTCACAGCCCAGGACAGCCGGCTGACCACGGATGCCCACCAAACGACCAGCAGGCACAGTCACCTTAAAAGCTGCAAAAATACAGACACATGTAATGATAGCATGGTGAAAATTCAAATGTGCACTCTTAGCCCATTTGTAGTCGATCAGAAAAGATATTTTTTGGTATCTTAGGTTGCTTCTTTCACTTGGAGTTGTGCAGCAAGTATGGCTGAGTAAGGAAAGCTTATACCACACTAGTTAGCATGGTGCCAGCATGGTGGTAACTATCAGACTTCCTGGCAGAAACATAATAAATTCCATGGGGTGCACATTCAGTATGAAAAAGCCGCATGAGCACATTCAAATCGGCTCAACAGGCAAGACCTGACACGAGCTTTTGCTGAGGGGACATAAAAGGCTATTGGATTAGTGCATTCAAGTATGAAATGCTTAGAAAATGACATGAAAAGCAGGATTAAATCTAAAGGCATGGTCAAAACAATCGGTCCAAAGCATCCAGAGGCAGACTTTTATAGAGAAAATGTAGACAGAAGTCAGTAGGACAATTTCAGTGATTTCCTGCTCAAATACACCCAATAACCTGGTAATTAGGCCGCAATGATAGTGCAAGCTGCATGCCTAAATCATTGTATCTCATCTTCTGCCTCAAAGCGTGTTGAACTGTGTCTAATACATATTTTAATTGACATACAGACAACATTCAGGCTTCAGGATGGCTGCTTTGAAGCATAAGCTTGTTTGCATAATGCTAATTAATGAGGCACCACACACACACACACACACACACACCATTTTTCACCAAAATACATATCGCTTTAACATGTATATATATATATATATATGTATGTATATATATATATATATTCTGCAACGCTTAGCTTCATGTTCTTCCATGGTGTGAAGAACGTTTTGCATGTTTAATGCGAAATGGCTCATTGTTGAGACCCTTACAGCGGTGGTGACACACAGATATAGCCATTTTATTTACTATCCAAAACCACCAGTGAACCTAAACGAGTCTTTTGAGTTTTTATTTGAAAATAATAAAATAGTAAAATAGTGACAAATCTGAGAAAACAAGTTTTCTTTGGGGACTGTTTTTGTCTACACCATGCATGTAGTCCACCGGTAATGTATTCTACAAGTTTTAGGTCAAGAACGTCTCAAGATTATCATAAAACAATGTGTCAAAACATCAGGCACTGTGTTCATAAACATCTCATGTAATAACTTTCTGTGAGGGAGCTTTTAGAGGTGGACATCTGGTTCCTATCACCACCACTGTGGGCAATTCTGACTCGGCAAGAAACACATTTCACAACAAATGACTCTGAATGAGCTTCTTTACATTTTCATGATTTAATACTGAAAACAAATCGGTGGAATTTCCCCTTTAAAAGTACATACTGGAGCTTGTCTAGGCTAAAGGCTGTTTAAACACTTGAACAGTTTGACTGCTGAACAAGGGGATAGCCACCACTGGACACCAAGCCATGGATAGAAAGTCAGTACCTGGAAAAAAATGTTATCTTTTAAATGAAATGAGAGGATGAATCATGCTTAATGTGACCAGAACCAAAAATATCAGCTTTGGTTTCAGGATGACTGTATTTTGGAAAAGGTCCCCAAACATTTGATGGGCAGCGCATCATCTGCACATGTTTAAATCTGTTCTACTTGCTCAATCTGCAGACACTTGTCTCTAATAACAGATGTGCATTCCAGCTAAATTATCAGCTTGCCATGGCTGGCGTGGCACGAGGCATGAAATCCAGAGGAGACCATGCCCGGAAAATGATCTGCATTGAGTTCCCCACATCCGAAATATGAAAAGAAAAATATGATGAATAACTGGAGGGTACACATTCATTAGAAAAAACCTTTGAGCATTTTCGAATCAGCTCAACAGGCAAGACCCGACACAATCTTTATCCAAGGGGAGATGAAAAGCATTTGGATTAATTCATTCAGAAATTAGAAGCTTTTTGAAACTGAATGAATGTTTTCAAAGCCCCCTCTGATCTCCTCATCTTTCTGACGCCCTCTTCCCTTTCAACCTTCTCGTTCTCTTCTAACAGGCCTGAATATCCCTACCCCTAACGTCTGAACTGATCTGATATCGGGCTTTTTCTACAGTAGCTTCTTCAGAACATAAATTTAACAGAAAATTAAACAGAAGCCTCAAAAACTAAACATAATGTATGTTTTTATTCAACCCAGTTTCCAAAAAAGTTGGGGTGCTGTGGAAAATGTAAATAAAAATAATTTTCAATGATATGCAACTCATTTCAATCTTGTATTTGATTGAAAAAGTACAAAGGCAACACATCAAATGCTGAAACTGAGAAATTAGTCTTTTGTCATATTTTTTGTTCCATAAAGCTCCAAATGTTATCAGTGGTGACAGGTCTGGACTTCAGGCAGGTCAGTTTAGGACCCAGACTATTTTACTACGAAGCCATGCTATAATACACGTAGAATGTGGTTTGGCATTGAAAAATGAAAAAGGATGGCAGCATATGTTGCCAAGACCTGCATATATCATTCAGCATTAATGGTGCCTTCACAGATGTGCACTAATGCACCCCTATACCATCACGGAAGCTGGCTTTTTAACTGTGCACTGATTATAAGCCAGATGGTCTTTATCCCAGCGGCTGCAGTGTCCATGATTTCCAAAAAAGAATTCTGAAATTTGATTCATCAGACTACAGGACACTTTTCCACTTCGCCTCAATCCATCTTAAAGGAGCTCAGGCCCAGAGAAGGCGGCGGCGTTTCTGGTTCCTCTTTATATATGGTTTCTTCCTTGCATGGTAGAGTTTTAACTTGCATTTGTGGATGTGGCGACAAATTCTGTTCACAGACAGTGGTTTTAGAAGTGTTCCTGACCCATGCAGTGATTTTCAATACAAACTACAAAAGTCTGTTTTTACTGCAGTGCTGCCTGAGGGCCCGAAGATCATGGCCAACTAATATTGTTTAGTCTTGTCCTTTGCATACAGACATTTCTCTGGATTTTCAGAATCTTTTAATGATATTATGTACTGCTGATAATGAAATCTCCAAGTTCTTTGATATTTTATGTTGAGAAACATTTTTCTGGAATTGTTGCTACTATTTTCGCACACAGTCTTTCACAGATCGATGAACCCTTCGTCATCTTTACTTCTGAAAGACTCAGCCTCTCTGAGATGCTCTTTTTATACCTAATCATGTTACTGATATGTCTCCAATTAACCACCAGGTGTTCTTTTCACATTACACAACTTTTTTTAAACGTGTTGCTGGCATCAAATTTAAAATAGGCATATATTTTTCAAAAAACAATAATATTTCTCAGTTTCAACATTTGATATGTTGTCTTTATACTATTGTCAGTTACATTTAGGGTTGAAATGATCACATCATTGTAACCCAACTTGTTTGGAAACAAGGTTGTAATGTCAGTTAATATTGGTTTGAGATTTGGCAAAAAGATTTGGTTGTCAGCCTCAAGAAGTCATCTTGCACACACCAGATAACAATATTCAGCTGCACTGGATCTTAAAAGCACCTGCATGCATCAAAGATCCAAACTTTTTTTTTATCATGAAATCTTTAATATAGTCATGATGAGACAGGCAGTGCCTATAGGTATTTAGCATAAAATCACTGCTATGTCATGCTTTCAGGTATGTGGCTGGAGCAGATCCTGCAACTGCTCAGGGATAACTTGCCAACAGAGGTTGTATTTATAATATATATATATATATATATATATATATATATATATATGTGTGTGTGTGTGTGTGTGTGTGTGTGTGTGTGTGTGAAAAAAGTGTTATTTGGAGCAAGGCCATAGAAGGACCAATTTTGCTTCCCATCAGAGCCTTTCAAAGGATAGTTCTTTAAAAAACCCAGGTTCTTCAAGGATCCAGCAGTGGTTCTTCTAGCCCTATTTGACACCATTATTTTTAGATGCAAAGCACCTGACGGACCTGGCTTCTAACTAACTAACTGACTGACTGATTACCTGACTGTCTCACTCACTCACTCACTCACATTTGGCAGGCTGAAGACTCTCCACAAGGGGAAGCTATTAGCACTCAAACAGCTTTTGGTGCTTCATAAAAAAGTGCTTCGCTGAAATGCCACTTTTAATTAAAAGTGTACATGTGATCGACAGTGTTACAGTGCTGACCAAATAACCTGGACAAAACTGCAATCAGCTGAGTTCTAGGCTATTATTAACAAACTAAAAATGCAGGGAGAAATAAACCCACATGAGGACAGTCAACTGAAAATATAACACCATTACAACTAAACCCCCCTCACACATAAATTTACACATAAACCTCCTCTCTAACAGCAGATACAGCATCCCCACCTGCCATTAGCCCATCTTGCGTACTCAAATGAGGATATCCCTGAATGGATGGCTTGCTATTCACAAAGCCCCAATGCTGGATGTTAGTATCACAGGTGTGAAACTGATGAGAATAATGTTTTTGGGGTTATTGTGGATTAGCATTTTCTTTTCTTTTCTGTTTTATAAAAAAGGGGGCTGTAAACACATTTTTCTCTTCTTGGGAAAGTATTGAGACATTTTTAGTTTTGCCCTGGTGACTGACTTAGCATTAAAATAATCTTTACAATATGTATCAGGGCCAGGCTAATGTAGGTTAGCATTCTTGAACAAATCTATTAGCACCTTATAAATTTATGCCAGAGTCCGAAAAAAAGAAAAATCAGGTTTAACATGCAGCAGAATAAAAAGAAAAGTAGCTCAAAGTCACATTCGTAAAAGCATAAAAAGCGGATCTAGAAGCTGCATCTGCTGGCAGCTGAAGGGTAAGATGATGCTAATTAGGGGTTACAACTCTCATTTGGAAGCAGTAATTCTCTACGCAAAAGTGCAATAAACCTTCTTGGAGGTCTATTTTTTTCATTTTTACCGAATTCCAGTCGCTGCTGATTCCCACCAGCTAGCTTTCTATCACCATGATCCTACCAAAAACTACCATGTGCTGTCTCCAAAACTCATAAGCCACTTTATCTTTCAGTTGCCACTTATTTAGTGCAATAAAATGGAGGGAGAGGGAAAAACCCTGACAGCTGGCAGAGGGAAAGATCAGCAATACTGAACAATGGGAGTTACACCACTTTTCTTCTTTGTCTGTCTTCTTCATGCATTCTCAGTGTCAATTCCAAAAAGAGAGAACACACGTGCCTCAAAATACTAAAATTAAACACGATCTAGACTCATTTTTTAATCCAAAGGACTTTAAGTAAAACAGTTTTGACGACATTATTAATGCTTACGGAAGGGATAAAAACACATTGGACTCAATGTGAAGATTCCACTGCGTTAAAAATCGCACTGAATCCCTTTTATCGTCTGAGAAAATCTTATTTGGTGTGAACTAACTTTTGCACAAACTTAAAACAGGGGCTGCGCCCTTTTGCCCTAACTTAGCTGACCTCGGAAAATAGGACAGACAGTAAACATGGGTTACAAAACCACTGAAATGCTGATGTGCTGCTCTGTAATTATATAAAAAAAAAAACACTGAAATATGCCACATCAGCAGTGTGGGAGGCTGCAATATACTGACTACAGCATCTCACCTGTCCATAACAAACGGAAATCTACCAAAAATAATTCCTATGTCATTCTCAGAGGCCACTACTCTAAATAGAAATATTTCACTGTCAGCTAATTTAAGGCCTTTACAGCATTAAAGGCTGCCAGCAAAGCTCTTTCAGCTGCTCTGCACCATGCAGCAACATGTTGGTTGGCAACCACATCAATAATCTTACACTTCAAGTGGATTCAGATAGACTTTAGTTATGCTCTTCCATATCCATACAGGGTAAGATGAGTCTGAATCTATTACTAACAAAATGTACCATAAACTGACAAACCAAAATTTAATGAATGAGTTTCTATTCAAAGTAAAACTGGAATATGATACAAATAGACTCAAGCAATCAGTCACAAGCCAATATTAATTATCATTTAAAATGCTACCCAGAGAAAACCAAGGAAGGCCTTTCAAGCATTAAATAAAAACATATGCAGATATAAAAAAATACCCAGAGCTGACAGTACTGTTAAGAATGATGCTTAAATTAAACTAAAAAAAAACACCCAAAACTGTTCTATCAAGAATAATAGCTTACACTCTAGCAAAAAGGGTTCTTTATAGTACTAAAAAGGGTTCTTTGACTCATAGCAATACTGGAACCCTTTTGGTGCTGTATAGAACCAGTTTCTGAAAGGTTCTTTAAATAAATCACTGTCTATCCTAGAGAGGAAACAGTACTATCAGACCACTCAGGCATCCATATGGTTCTTTAACTTTGCCTTCATTAAAGAACTTTTAAGGACACACTTTTACAAAAGCCACCCAAAGCAGGGAGTTCTCAAAAAAATATATTTAAGAAGTGAGATCTGTGGTCCTGGAGAACTGCTCAGCTCTGAGAAACGCAGAGTGAAACTCAGGAAGAGCCTCTAATGTAGCTGATCAGTTAAATCAGCTGAGCAGAAAATCCTCAGAGGTGCAGAGCAGTACAGGGGATCTTCAGGACCACAGCTGTATATATACAGGGTTATCTACACGTATGGGTCTACTTGCATAAGCAGCAGCTGCCGGTTTAGCAGACAAGCACATTCCAGATAACTACAGATAGAGTGAAACAGAGCCTTTACCTGCACACCTCACCACCAGGTACAGCGCAGAGACGAGCCACAGCATCTTGGACAAACCATCGTTTCATTTAGTCGCCAGAAACAGGTCTTGCTTCAGAGCTGAGTGATGAACATCTGCCTGCGTTCATAACGTGTAATTATCAAATTATTAGAGTCGCCGTCCCGTTGGCGCCACCTAGTGGAGAACAATCAGCTTGCATTACATGAGCTCATACTGAAGTCCTTTTTATTATTATTATTATTATTATTATTATTATTATTTAGCTGTATTTTAAAGATACTCATATTTTATATTTTTCTTGCTTTTTATCCCCCCCCCGCCCCCGAGCTCCACTTATGACATTTGTGCAGCTTTATTTACCAAAAACTGTCAAATGACCATTTTCCAACCTCTCTTTATCGCTTAAATTAAACAATGAAACGTGTTTGTGTTTTGTTTTTATGTGAGTCTGTCGTTTCTAGATCCTACAGGTAAAAATAAAGGTTAATTGAAACGTTAGGACAACCATTTCCAGAGCTGACTGGCGTAAGGCTGCTGGCAGGGCCAGGGGTTCTAATGGGGTTGAAAAGGGTTTAAGAGGTTGCCCTGCCAGGCAATCGGTCCTACTGCACATGCGCATATCATCAGCATATTTTTGGTCGGTGGACTATTCTCAGTCCAGCAGTGACACTGAGCTGTTTACGAACTACTGTGGCTGATCCACTCAGACCAGCGCAACACACACTAACACACCACCACCACGCCAGTGTTACTGCAGTGCTGAGAATGATCCTTCATAAGACAAAGCCCAACGTCATGGGGCGCCCCATAATTTAGTCACCATGCAGTTGAATCATCATCACCAGCTACAGTGGAAAAACAGGTCTGCACTAAAATTAGTGATGCGAAATGTTTCGGTTTAGTCTAGTCTTAAAATATAATTGGCTGAGCTGTGTTAAAAATATGATATACACACTATATACACACATTTATATGACTGTCTCACCACTGAAGCCTGTATTAATGCGCTGAAAGACAGGTTTTAGTGTTCTGCTTTAAACAGTGTTCTGCACTTTTGTGAAGCTGACAGTCCATGTGGTCAGAAATCAAATAAAAACACTACTGTTCGTTAAAAGAAATATTTGTGCTGTTTTCATTCTCAAGGTTTTGGATAAACAGTTTTTGTCACGAGCGAGGACACCATTCTCACACGGTTGTCTCCGTGTCCGTGAGCACAACAGAGTAATCTGGCTTCTTCAGCTTTAATTATTCAGCTTCATAACTGCACTGAGAAGAAGTCAAGAGCTGAACTAAAGTTGATCAATAAAACGAATACTTCGCTGTTTCAACACACTTTTTCAAACGAATCAAGCATCACTGTGAGACTGCGTGGTGAGGAACATGAACATTCATTTCAGTCTTTATGGATCATGTGTGCTGATGTTATTTTGGGGCTTAAAATGCTCAGCAAATATGAAAGAAGAGTTTATTGGAACCACCAAAAACACAAAAGGAGAACAGCAACCCATGTGGGCTTCATCAAGGATTTCTATTAAAAATGAAAAAGATAACACTTCTATGACGGCGTTTTAGGGCCACTGTTAATAAAAATAAAAACAGTAGATTTCGAGAATAAAGTCGTAATATTTGAGAAAAAAGTCATGATGTTTTGAGAATAAAGTCGTAATATTTCGAGAAAAAAAGTTGTAATATTTCCAGAAAAAGTCGTAATATTTTGAAAAAAAGTCGTAATATTTGAGAAAAAAAGTCATAATATTTTGAGAAAAAAGTCGTAATATTTCCACAAAAAGTCGTAATATTCGAGAAAAAAGTCATAATATTTCCAGAAAAAAGTCGTAATATTTCGAGAAAAAAGTCATAATATTTCCAGAAAAAGTCTTAATATTTCGAGGAAAAAGTAGTAATATTTCGAGAAAAAAGTTGTAGTATTTCGAGAAAAAAGTCGAAATATTTCCAGAAAAAAGTGGTATTTTTTGAGAATAAAGTCGTAATATTTCCAGAACAAAGTCGTAATATTATGAGAAAAAAGTCTTAATATTCCGAGAAAAAAGTCGTATGGTATGATATTTCGAGAATAAAGTCATAATATTTCGAGAAAAAAAGTTGTAATATTTCCAGAAAAAAGTCATAATATTTTGAGAATAAAGTCGTAATATTTCCAGAAAAAAGTTGTAATATTTTGAGAAAAATTCGTAATATTTTGAGAAAAAAAGTCGTAATATTTCCAGAAAAAAGTCGTACAGTATGACATTTCGAGAATAAAGTCATAATATATCCAGAAAAAAAGTTGTAATATTTCCAGAAAAAAAGTCGTAAGATCTTGAGAGAAAACTCCTAATATTTCCAGAAAAAAGATGTAGTATTTTGAGAAAAAATCGTAATATTTCCACAAAAAAGTCATAATATTTTGAGAATAAAGTCATAATATTTCCAGAGAAAAAGTCCTAATATTTCCAGAAAAAAAGTCGTAATAATCTTGAAATATTATGACTTCTTTCTCGAAATCTACTATTTTTATTTTTATTAAAAGTGGCCCTAAAACACCGTTGTACACTTCAGCTTACTTCTTACAACAATGCAAAATTTCAAAGCTGTGCTCAAAGTGCTTTTAAGTTAACTTTCCCTCGACCAGTAGGGTTACTTTTTTTGGTAATATTCCCCCCTTTTACAAAAAATGTTCTGTTCAAATCACCATCAGCATTTTAATGACCACCTCACACACAAAACTCACGAAGAGTGTGTGCTGTATAAGAGAATCCAATACATTTCAATGAGAAGACAGTCTGTATTAGACCAACATGTGTATGTTTCCCTTAAATCCTCCTTTTTTGTCTTTCTTTCACATTTACTTTTAAACACACACACGCAGTACATACACACAAACACACACACACACAAGCCGTAGATGTGCATCCCTGACAGAACTGTATTTCGTTCTTTCTTGTCTCCACCGAGCGTTATTTGAATGACATCAGGCCGAGTAAATCACACAAAAGGGTTTTGCGACACTAAAAACAAAATTTCCTAAATTCACTAGATGGTGCTTTCACACCACAATGTGCAGAGTATGAAATAATATGGGGGGGAGGGCGGGGGGGGGCTCTATCCTGGAGACATTTCACTACAGTACATTCCTGATCCAGCCCAAGATGACCTCATTCAGTCGGGTGTTCTAGATGAGACAAAGCACATAAATTACCATGAGGTGGTGAGGCCTGGGATTAGAAACCCCAAACTTACAAAATGAAACTTGAAGATAAACTTCACATCTGCTTAACAGGCCCTTTTTTCTTTCTTTTTTCTTTTTTTATTAAAGCATTTTGCACAGTTATTTCAGTAATTACGAAATCCATTGTACTGTAAACTATAAAATGCAGTAAATAAACATTTGGCTGCACACTGCAGCTGTATCCTCTCAATCTTAGGAGTTTTCTTAATCATTTAGACACTGAAACTGATTGAGTCAAATAGCTCAAACAATTCCATCAGCCAACAAATGAAACACTACTTTTCCCAAATCCTCAACAGTACTTGCTGGCTTTTGTCAGATGCTCCTGAACATTTTATGCAAAACTATACACAAAAAAATCCCTCCATAAAACAAAACAAAACTCAGTAGCTCTATTGAAAGATACAATACCTCACAAAGATCTAAGCTAAAAGCCCAGGCTTATATTCTAACTAAACAGGAAACAACCATCAGACACAAGTCCTACACATCAATAGTCAGGTGGGGGAGAACGGTGATTGGTTGGCACTGGTGGTGATACTGTCAGGTGATCCCCAGAGAGTCCTGGGAGATTTAGCTATGTTCACATTACAAGCCTCGTGGCTCAAATCTGATTTTTTTCTAACCCTAGACATTTGAATGCCTTGTTTAGGCATGCAGTATAGAGCAATGAAACTAAATGAAATAATAAATAGCATAGAACATAGCATATTGCTTTTCCTTAATCCTGCAAACCATGAACCAATGAACAAAAAATAAACAAAAAGGGTTACAAAGCCATTGCTGAGACTCTGGGACTCCAGTAAACCCCAGTGAGAGCCGTTATCCACAAATGGAGTAAACATGGAACAGTGGTGAACCTCCCCAGGCGTGGCTGACCTACCAAAATTTCACTAAGAGAGCATCAACGAGTCACCCAGTCAAAAAAGAACCCAGACGAACATCTGAAGAACTGCAGGCCTCAGTTAAGGTCAACGTACACAACTGCACAATAAGAAAGACACTGGGCAAAAAGGGCATCCATTGGAGTGTTGCCATATGCAGACCACTGCCTCCCGAAAAGACCACAAAGGCTCGCATTTGCCAAAAAACATCTAGATGAACTCCAAGACTTTTGGGATAATATTGTATGGATTGATGAATCAAAAGTGGAGCGTTTTGGAAGACATGGGTCCAGTTACATCACACAGCATTCCACCATAAATACATCATACCAACAGTTAAACACGGTGAGATAGTCTGGTGCTGCTTCTGCAGGACCTGGACGACTTATCATAATTGATGTAGCCATGAATTCTGCTCTCTATCAGAAAATCCTGAAGGACAATGTCTGCCTGTCAGTTTGTGACCCAAAGCTCAGTTGGGTTGTGCAGCAGGACAATGATCTGAAGCACACAAACAAGTCCACCTCTGAATGGCTCAAAAGAAACAAAATTATGGTTTTGGGAATGGCCAGTTCATGCTCAGAAACCCCCCAATGTAGCCGAATTAAAACAACTCTCCAAAGAAGTGTGGGCCAAAATTCCTCCACAGCGATCTAAAAGACTCAAGCCAAGGGTGGCACAACCAGTTATTTGTTTGAGGGGGGCAATTACTTTTTCACATGGGTGATAAAGGTTTTGAATAATTCTTGAATAATTCTGTGTCTACTTGTGTTGTCTTTGTCTTACATTACTATTACTTGGATGATGTGAAACATGTAAATGTGACAAAATAGCAAAAACGGAAGAAATCGAACAAATACTTTGGGGCAAATACTTTTTCACAGCACTGTATTGTGAAATTTCTGTGTTTATGTAAACATTGACTCCGAATCTCTAAAAACGCTGTTTGTTAACTATGTAATTGAGGCTGTTTCAGAAACAAAAAGAGCTACAAAGCTCTATAGTGCTCAATAATCC